TGCTACCCACTCAGCCACCGGGAAGCTGATCAGACCGTTTTTTATTTTCCATTTACACGATGTGGTACAACACATCTTTATGAGCTTGTTGCGGGCCTTGCGCCTCGCCCATTTCACCACTAGCCTCCGGGTTGGAACCTTTCACAGCCTGATTGCCGTGGCGGATCGACACATGCTTCTCTGGTACTCCATTCCCCAACAAACAGTTCCATAGTGCGTTCCTATTGACAGAGTCGAAGGCCGTGCGGATGTCTCAGGACACAATGATCATTCATCTTTGATAGATGTGACGTTACTCTATGCAGCTGCCTGAGGGTGACGATTTGATCCACGCAGCAACGACCGGCGCGAAACCCAGCCTGCTCCTCCTGCAGAGTGTACAATCGGCGGAGAATTACGGACGTCAACAGTTTTGACGCAATTGAGACAAGGCGCAGTCGTTGCGCAGGCCATTTTTAAAGATTTGGAGGGCAATCAAAGGGAGTGCTACAATAGGATCGGCAGTCTTGAATACAGCTCCGCCAACTGTGGCTTATAGCGATGTGGTCGATCTGAGTCCGTCGCTGACTTGAGAAGGGCGGATGCCAAGTAGCGTACCAGCAGTTGGAATGTCTGAAGTTCGTTGGCGAGGAATGGGCGGTTGTCAGAACATACAATCAACAGCCGTTCCCCGTTTTTTGAGTGACTCTACGAGGTTATCCCCCCCATCTTGAAAAGAGAGGGTGGAACCCCGTCAGGTACGGCTGCTTCTGCTTTTTCTACGGCTTGGATGCAATATTGTACTTTTTATTCAGTAGGGGTTTCACATGGTACTGTCCACGGAGCCTCAACTACGATAGATGAGTCTGGTTATCGCCTGATCAGCTGAACTGTTCTTTGAAGTGCTCCACTCATCGGTCAAGCCGTTGTTCCCTACTGTGAACAGCGTGTCCACTTTTGTCGCAGATTGTTCCACCAGCTGGGGTTCGCCGACCGTCCGTGTTGCGTATCAGTTGGAACAGATTCTGACTATTCCCTGATGCAGAAGCTACTTCCATTTCCCTAGCCATTTTGACCCACCATTTTCTGCGATCTACCTCAAGGCTTTTCCTGAGCTGATGTTGCAGACGCCAGTGGTTCCCATGTTGATCCCATCAGATTGGGATCTTTCGCTTTTGTTCCATCACAATTATTGACTCCTGATAGATCCAATATCTGCAGTGAACTTTGGACTCGGACCCACAAGCAAAGTTTGCTGTCGAAGGCATTGATTCCGCTCGTGATTAACTCTACCACGCCGCGGTGCTCCTGTTCAAGTTTCTCCTCATTACATGCGCAAATAGCTGGGTTGCGCGGATGATTATGAGCTGAATGAGGAGGCAATTTTTACCGATGACCGATGAGTCGAAGTGTGAAGCGGATCAGAACTGGTGAGTGATCAGAATCACCGCAGGTGCACTAATAGGATCTGCAATTTTTACAGAGCCAGGCTAAAGGTGGATTACAGCAATGTGGTCAATTTGGGTTAACTTGACCGTTGAACTAGAACACCACGCAGCCGTCCGACGAGAGCTGTGTGGAAAGTTGGTGCCGAAGTTGAGTCCGGGGTGGCGGCACCTTTTTGCCCGAGTTCACCACAGAAAGCGGTGTTCGTCAGGGTTGCCCTCTCTCTCTTTCCTTTTCTATTTAACTTTGTTATCAATTTGATTATGGAAACAGCCCTGTCCTCGTACGAGGATAGTGGTATCAATTTACTCCCAGGTGGCAGACTGTCTGATCTAGAGTATGCAGACGACATTGTGCTACTGGGTGAAGATGCAGGCAAGTTGCAAGCTTTTATAGATAGCTTGAATTCTAGTGTAGCCATGTTCGGCATGCGTTCTGCACCTTCAAAATACAAAATGTTGCTATAAAACTGGGTTGGTCCAGCACACAGACCCACTATAACTGGGGAAATAACGGAGCAGGTGGATAAGTTTTGTTATTTAGGCAGCTAAATCACCCGGTGGACGCATCACAGATGAAGTGTCGGCGCGCATTCAGAAGGCTCGGTTGGCATTTGCTAACTTGAGACATCTGTGGCGCCGTCGCGACATCCGGCTATCTATGAAGGGACGAGTGTATGCCATGGCAGTTCGATCAATTCTGCTATACGGCGCAGAAACTTGACCATTAAGGAAACAGGATAAAGATAGACTATCGGTGTTTGAACACCGCTGTCTACGTAGCATTGCACGAATCTGGTGGGGCAACCGGACGAACAATGCTGAGGTTGGGGGCAGAGTTTTGGGCATCCGCGGTCGTCCACTGGAGCAAGTGGTCGACCTCCATAGATTATGTTGGTTGGGGCATGTGTTACGCATTTCACCAGATAGGTTGCCACGGCGAGCGATGTTTGTCGAGATAGGTGGTGGTTGGATGAAATCCAAGCTAAGCCCTGGGTAAGAAAACCCTGACCAGGAGTCTGGGTCACATAGGTCGCGTTAGGTTCCTGGATGGGGACCTCGGGATGACCATAACCGATAGTTAGAGACACAGTGATATGGCTGGGTGTCGTAAACACTGGCGTTCGTACATCACAATTTCTCTGTA